GCTTCGGCAGACTCGTGAATTATATGCCTCCTTTAATGCAATGTTGGAGATAAAAGACTTGATGCTAAAGAAGACTTCTTTGTTAAACTCTATAAACCCACCAATTTGTACTCTATCTTCCTCCCTATTTCTAGTTTTGCTAGTTACAATTCTTATATTCTATCCTAGTCCTACTTAAATCTAAACTTTTGAATTCTGAAATATCTCTCCACAATTTTAGCTTAAAGTTTTCTCATTCTCTTGTTTCGTCAACTAAATTTGTATCGTCTGCAAATTTTATACACTGGAGATATCCTCTTTGAATGCTCTTTTTAAGTTCATCCATTACTATGTATGTAAGTATGTTGGAAATATTATATTTGTGATATGATATCTATTAAACTATATGACACAAAATGAGGTTTCTTTCAAAATGTTTAATAAGTCTACATTTTGTATGTGTATAGGACATTTTTAAAGAGGTCATTGTCGGACGGCAACATTCTTTGTGAAAGCAATTCACCCATTGAAGCCACTGATGTTTGACAAAATGAATATCACAATCAGCCTTTGCCTGATAAGACGCAAGGTCTTTCAGCGTCAACTCTAGAAATCTCAACTTGTGAAAGTGAATTATCTTATTCAAGGTGAGCTTACATCACTTTGTTAAATCTGGTACCTGAAGGAGCTTCTTTATCATTTAACTTTGTTCTCTACAAGTGCAATTGGGCTTTCCCATTATTTGATTTACTGAAGCTAATATAATGGCCAAAATTGACCATCTAATTTACATAATTCTTTGAAGAATAAAGTAGAAAGGCTCTGATAAAAATATAATGTTCCAAAATCATCAATTTGTCAAAAAACCAGTTTGGACTAGCCAATTGGACTGGATTGGCTCAGATGTGGAGCTCTTATAGACCAAATGCCCAGGTGACCATAAAGTTGATGAAATTCAAAAAGTGTAGCTGCACTAAAGCTTTAACTTCCTGGATTCATCATGAGAGGACAAATAATCTACCTAGATGATATGAATGGTGAATTTGAAACTATTAAAGTATCATCTAACAAAAACATGTGGATTTTGATCACCATTTAGAATGTCTTTTGAAAATTGAATGAGTAATTTCAAATACCAAATGAGCTTATCATATATGATAAACATTTGAAGCTTGAATATTGTATTGAATAAATCTTATATTTAAAACGTCTCTCTAGTATTGTTTTGCATGCATAGCTTGACTCTTCTTGGAAGTTAAAGTCACTGTTTGTGTGTCAATTAGTGTTGAACATGTGGTGTGGTATGCAATATGATGGCCAATTATATCTCACATTGTACACTTATATAATTTAATAATTGCAACATTCCTCTAATTAATTGGTTGTCTTGTGTAGGTATACCCCCTCCATGTCTAGTACACAGCTTTTTCCAGAAATGCAGCGGAACCAATATTTGGAAAATGATCGTGTTTGTTTGGATGGACATCGAGATTCATTCCACTGCTCAAATTTTTGGGACGTGGATTGGCTTTCTTCATTGGGAAATTCATGTGAAGAAGAAACTTATGAAAGGTGATTTTTGAGATTCTGTTAAAGTAATGATTCCTGAAATGTTGTTCTGAAATAAGCTTAAAGTTCAATATTTTAATTGCTGTCATCATCAGCACCACTTCATTTATTTAGTGTCTGTCACTGCCAAGGGCCACCTCTTTTTTTCCTCTACTGTCATCGCCATCATCACCACACCTATACCCTTTGTCAGCCATCAACAACTTTGCGTACAAACATTCTTTGACCCTTCATCTTTAATAAGAGAAAAATACTACTTTCACATAGTAATTTACTGTAACAACAGGAACCAAAACAAAACAAACCAAACCAAACCAAACTAAGCCTTGTGTTCCAATCAAGTTGGGTTACTACATGAATCATTTTTGTCATGCTGCTCTGTCAAGGGTTATAGACTCAGTTAAATTAAATAAATTCATGTCCTTTCGTTGACATCTTCATTTGTTCATAAAAGTTGTCATCAAATATGTGTGTATATTGATGCAGATGCACAAATATGACCACTATCATTCATATCTGTAGATATTATACTTCCCTTGTCATGTTCTTAAATTCATACAAATCCACACAACCTTCCTTGCAATGTTCTGTGGTTTGAACCCTGGATTTAATGGCTGCAGATCTATGCTCATAAGCTCTCCTATTACCGGTACGTCATCAGGTAACGTTGTTATTGGACTTAAAATGGAGTCAGGTGCTTCTGCTAGTACATCTGGGTCCAGCATGAAGGTCAGTAATATATTGAATCTTTCTGTTGGCACTGTCATGACATGGTATACTTGTCAATCAGAAAATATGCCATGCATACATATTTGACAACTATGGTTCACAGGTATAGGCAAAGTAGAATAGAATAGCATTAACTTGCCCTATTCTTTTTTCCTCGTGTTTGTGCTTGTGAATCTTAGATTTGGATCTTGTCAGTTACATCTATTTACTTTTATTGCCATATCTTACTTCCTTGTCTTGCTTTCTTTGTTGACTAACTGACATTAGATGCATTGTTCCTTTTGGATTTAAATTTTCTTGTTTTATATTTGTTTTTGGTCAGCATTTTCATGGCGTTGATACACTTTGCACGTTATGATGATCCCATTTCTAATGTATTTTTAATTATTTTTTTTAGTCAACCAAACATGGGAATTGACATTTTGATGGAATGACTTTTTATTGCACTTCATTCCAGTGATCAGTGTACCAAACACTACCTCAATTCTTCAACATTTCCATGTGAAAATCTAAAGTAATTGAGTGCATCTTCAATAATCTTCAACCAAATTTTGGGGAACTGTGTGATCTTATCATAATTAGGGTCGCCATTTGGGTGAAGTCTCAGTTAAAAGGATATTTTTATTCAGCTAATGAGATGGTGCATAATTTGCAACAGGTGAGGAGGAGCATTGGATCTTCAATCAGGCTGTAGAGGTTTTCTCAGATGGGAGTGAGCAAGCTGGAGTATGATCTGGTTTTGTGGTATGCTTTTCCTTTGTGTTGCTATGCTTTACTTAGTGCTTTGGCTGAGTGTGGTGTAGTTTGCGTAGTTTTTGCTTGACTTTATTGGGCTGCTGTTTTCATTGGTGTTGGCTATCTGATGTACTCATGTGTTTGGGCCACCCTTTTGTCTTGTTGTTTAGTTGTTTTTTCCTTGCTACGTTGGTTCCTCACCAACTCTTGATGGTGTGCTAGTGTGCTTATCGGTGCCAACCTCATTCCTCGGCTCAATTTATCCATCAATTCAATCTCAAACCTTCAAATCCCAAACTCAACAGGGTAAGGGAAACTACCCATTTCCTCATTCTCTCTCTTCATCATTCTTCTTTTAGTAGGTTTGATAAATTAGTACTTCTCTGGCAAATCCATTTCTATGACTTTGTAATGTTACTAGAAATTATGTTTGTATATGCGATTCTGAAATAATATGTAAATGGTCTGAATTAGTGTGTAATAGAAACCCTAATACTTTAATTGGAACAAAACTTAAAATGTAATTCAAAATAGATTATACAAACCCAATTTGGGAATTCAATATTATAGTGTTTCTTACCTCTATGTAATTTAATTGTTATTAATAGACATTGGATTGTAAAAATATTTTCAATAATGGGTTCGTATTTAAATATAATGATTTTATTGTGTAATATGGCACTAGTTTGTTTAACCATTCTTAATAATTAATATTCACACATTGTGATATTGATCTTATAAGTTTTTCTGGCATTATCATAGCAAAATATTGAGAACCGATTGACACACTAAAATACATAAACGGTGTCGGATGTCAACGAAACTTGACACACACAATTAGCTAGGCATAAATGACATATAGGAAAAGACGGGACTCAAAACTAACTCTCGGTTTTGAATCTAGAGCCTAATTCCCATTTGTGAAAATTTGTCCTCTAAAAACTCTTTTTCAGAAACGGTTAACATAATAAAATGGTCAAACGGTGTTGGATGTCAACAAAACTTGACAAATATGGCTAACTAGGCACAAATGACTTGTAGGAAAAACGGGACTCGAAACCGATTCCCGATTTTGAATCTGGAGCCTATTTTCCGTTTGTGAAAACTTGCTTTTTAGAAACTCTTTTTCCGAACCAGTTGACTCGCTAAAATGCTCAAACGACGTCGGATGTCAATGAAACTTGACACACACGACTAACTAGACACAAATGATTTGTAAGAAAAGACAGGACTTGAAACCGATTCCTTATTTTGAATCTGGAGCCTAAGTTCCGTTTGTGAATACTTATCCTTTAGAAACTCTTTTTCGAACACACACTAAAATGGTCAAACAACATCGGATGTCAACGAAACTTGACACACTTGACTAACTAGGCACAAATGACTTGTAGAAAAAGACGGGACTCGAAATCGATTCCCGTTTTCCGATTTTGAATCTAGAGCCTAATTCTCGTTTGTGAAAACTTGTCCTTTAAAAACTTTTTTCCGTAGCTTGAAATTAATTATGTTGTAAATGATGAATTTTTTTTTTGGTTTCTTTTTGCAGATGCAACCCTTGAGTACGTGATGATATCTTCATATATTGATATTGGAGCTTATTATTGATATCAAAACAAGCTATAATATATATGTTTTTTTTATATTTATATTGTCGATACTTTTATTTTGTTTTAGATACAAAAATTTGAGTTCTTGAATACAAAAAATCATTAGTGTTGTTGGAGGATGTTTTATATATTTTTGTAAAGAATATTTGGTTGACAATTATTACAGGGTACATATATATTATTCTTGGTTTATGATTTTGTGGGTATGGATGTGAATGTGGATGTAGATGTAGACGTAGATGTATTTTATTTTATTTTAGAAAATATTAATAATTTGTATAGGAAATGAATTAATAAAATATATATTGATTTTATGAAAATAATTTTATTGTGACAATAATAAACCGTCATTAATGTAATCATCATTTCCTTACATATTATTAGGGACGGATTAACCTGTCGCATATAACATATTAGTTTAAATCATTAGCGATGGTTTAAACTGTCGCAAATACAGTATTAATTTAATTCTACTTTTTTGCGACATTTTAGACCATCACTAATAATACTTTTCGCAACATCAAATACTGTCGCTAAAAAAGTTTTGGTGACAGCAACCGACATTGTCACTAAAAGTGAAGTTTTTTCTCCTTTTTTTTGTGTCGGGTTAAACCGTCGCAAAAACTTTTGATTAGCCGTCGCTACAAGAAAGCAACAGTTTGTAACCGTCGCAAATACTTTTTGTCACGTCCCCTTCTGCCACCCCTTATTTCTTGTCGCTACTCCGTCGCAAAAAGTCTTTTGCGACGATATGTGAACCTTTTGCGACGTTTAAGACCGTCGCAAAAACTCTGATTTTTAGTAGTGAATGTCACTAACTGTTAATTTTTAGCAACACAAAAAATGTTACTAATTATAAGTTTAGCAACAATTTTAAAAAATTTGTCGCAGAAAAACGTTATTAATTGTAAGTTTTGGCGACAATTTAAAAAAATAGTGACAAAAAAATTATTAATTATCATTTTTTAACGGCATGCAAAAAATCGTAACAAAAAATTATTTTTAGAGACAATTTTACTATGATTTATTTTCAATAGGACTTGATGAAAATTAAATCAAACTATTAAAATTTATTGATAGTTTTCAATAGGACTTGATGAAAATTAAGTCAAACTATTAGGATTTATTGATAATTTATCCAAAAAAAAAAAAAAAACCTGTTTGAGAATTAGGTGTTTGACCTTCTTTTAGTAATTTTTGACTTTAAATTTTATTTTTATTTTTTTTATTGACTTATTAATTTTTTCAGCTAAAAAATCAAATTTCAAACACCAACTAACTCTCAATCTTCAAAATGTTTCGATTTGTGGGGTATACTGTACACAACTGATTTTGCCGATTTCTTCAAAATACAAAAACAAAAATGCTAAAAATGAATAAGCAAAAAACAAAAGTGAAAAATATTCAGTATGTTTGGTTTAAGTTTTTTGGATTATTTTTTGAAAATTAAATTTCTTGGTTTTCGTATTCTTTTGTTTTTAGTGAATATTTTTTAAATTTTAAACATTTTTTTTTTATTTTTTTAGATGCACCGTAGTTAGATGTATCTAAAAAGTAAAAAATTTATATTTTAAAAAATTATTAAATACATAGAAATATAAAAAAATGTACTGAATTTTTGTATTTTTTTTATATTTTTGGTATTTAATGAATTTTTAAAAGATTTTTTTTACAATTTTTTTACTTTTTAGGTGTATTTGTGTTAAGTGTGTCTAAAAAGTAAAAAAATTGCTCAAAATATTAAAAAAATTCAGTAAAAACAAAAAAATACGAAAAATAAGAAAGTAAAATTTTCTGAAAAGTATTTTCTGAAAAATAAAAACAAGCAAGCTGATTTCTCAACTTTGGGCTTTGTTTGGTTACAATTTTCAAATTTTATTTTTAGGTGGGTTTTCATTTGTCTTTGTTGGACTTTATTTATATTTTAGTAATTTTACTTTTACTTTTTAGATACATCAAGTTTAGATACATTTAAAAAGTAAAAAAAAAGTTTAAATAACATATGAAATAAATGAAAACCCAAATAAAAATGTACACAGATTTTTATTTGAATTTTTGTTTGTTATTAGTGATTTTAAAAAAAAAATAATTTGTTTTACTTTTTAGATGTATTTTGAATAAGTATATCTAAGAAATACCCAAAAAAAATTAATTAAAATATTAAAAATAAACAAGAATTCATCTAAAAATAATTTTTTAAAAATCAAACCAAATAGACACTTCTTTTTTTTCCTACTTTTTAATAAGACTGAGCAAGGAATTCGTAAAATCCGCAATCCAATCCGGTCTAATCCAATCCGATAGGTTTGGATTGGTTTTTTGAATCCGTGGTTCGATTTCGGATTGAAAAATTAAAAATCCGTAGTCTACAGATCGGTTCCGGATTGAATTTCACGGTTCCGGATTGGAACCGATCCGGACCGTATACAAATAACCTATATTTATATTATACACCTCCCGCATAATATCTTCTTTTATTCCATATAAAACCTAAACCAAAATCTAAACCCGCATAATATCTTTTTTTATTGCTTTTGTTTGTTAGTTTTTAGTTTTAATTTGTAATGATCTAAATGCTTATGGTAGAACCAGTTTTCTTATGGTTGTTTAAATTTTAAAACAGTATGTCGCTATTATAGAAAGACATGTTGCTATTGTGGAACTAATATGATGCAATATTTATATTTTTATGAAATTAAAATGTTCTATATTTTTTTTATCATTATTTAATTATGTGAATTTGTATTCCTAAACCGATCCAATCCATGTTTAAATAGATTGGTTCGGATTGGTTTCAATTTTTCAGGAACTGTAGATAACAAATTGGTCATAATTTTACCCTAAACCGGACCATGCTCACCCCTACTTTTTAAGTTATTTCTGTCGATTAAACTATAAGCAAAATTTATATCAAACGGTCTGACACAACTATCAAATTAAAATAAATTATAAATAATTTATATAAGCAGCTCAAATAATTCAAAGGGATGGCAGCAAGGTGGCACATGCTTAAGCTCGCTTGGCTGGGTAGGGTCAATCTCTACCCATTCTTACTGTGTTTAGTTGAGAGAATTGAGAATAGGTTTAGAAAAAAAAAATATGGGTGAAACTAAATGAAATGTAACTATATTTTATTCACATTTCACATTTTTTTTTCATTTCTCTTTCCAATTATATCAAACGGTCTGACACAACTATCAAATAATTTAAAGGGATGGCAACAAAGTGGCATATGCTTTAGCTCACTTGGCTGGGTCAATCTCTACCCCTTCATGCATACTATGTTTAATTAAGAGATTTGGGAAGAAATTTTTTTTAAAAAAAGAAAAAATATGTGTAAAATTAGATATAATATAACTATATTTTATTCACATTTCACCTTCTTTTTTTATTTTTTTTTTCTAAATATTTTTTCAAATCTCCCAATTAAATACAGTATGAGTGTAAATTGATGAAGTGCCTTTGGAAGTTTATTCTCTTATTGCTTCTGATATTTAATGGCCCTTATTTTGGGCTTTAAACATCTAGAAAAAATAATCCCATTGTCTCATTGATAAAAATAAAAAATTATTTATATATCAAATTTATATAAAAAAAAAACTCTATCAAAATGATGTAATAATACTATTCTTATAAATAAACTCATTTTTATGAGTATTTTATTTTAAAATAAAAAATTTATATTAAATCACATCATTCTTTATAAACTTTTTATTGATATATTGTTATTCTGAATAAAATAAAATTTCAAATTTCAATCTCTGTTTGGTTTTAATTTTAAGAATTTATTTTTCAGAAAATTTTACTTTTTCTTTTTTTCGTATTTTTTTTGTTTTCATTGAATGTTTTTAATATTTTAAGCAATTTTTTTTTATTTTTAGACACATCTAACATAAATGCACTTAAAAATTATAATATTTGTGAACAAAATCTTTAAAAAATTCATTAAACACAAAAAAAAAAATGAAAAATCAATATATTTTTCAAATTTTTTATTTTTATTTTTAGACACATCTAACATAAATGCACTTAAAAAGTATAATATTTGTGAACAAAATCTTTAAAAAATTCATTAAACACAAAAAAAAAATGAAAATTCAATATATTTTTCGTATTTTTGTGTATTTATTAATTTTAGAAAATATTTTTTTCATAAATTTTACTATTTAGATACATCTAAGTAAGTTGTATCTAAAAAATATAAAAAAATTATTTAAAATTTCAAAAATATTCATTGAAAATAAAAAATAAAAAATTTAATTTCTAAAAAAATAAATTTAAAAATTTAAACCAAACCTACGAATAATATCTTGATAGGTCATTGCCTACCTTTTTTGGGGGCGCTTGTTAAAGTTGATGGTTCATTGCTCACCACCTGTTGGTTGGTTTGTTTTCAGAGGTAGAATGGAAGAGATTGATAGTGAAGAAATTATAAATAAGAGAATTGTTAGTGAGAGAATTAAGTAAAATTATATTTGTTTTGATGATAGTTGTTAGTGTAGGGATTGTTAAATTATTTTTATATAAAATAAATATAAAATAATAAAACAAATAAAATATACAAAAACATTAAACATTAATGTTTTTAAAAAAATGCCCAATATGTAAAAAAAATTTAAAAAATAAAAATAAAATAAAAAATTTTCAAAAAAAAATAAAACAAATAAAATAATGATTTTTACTTAACAAAAAATATAAAAAATTAAACATTAATGTTAAAAAAAATGTCCAACATGTAAAAAATAAAATAAAAATAAAAAATTCTAGTCCGCCGGACTATTTTTCTAATACCAAGTCCTGGAAGCCCATCCGAATTCCCTTGGGGGAGACCTATCCTAATCCGGAGCTCACTATCAATCTCCTTTTCATCTCTCAAAACAAACACAATATTAGTGGATCCTACCCCACTACCAATCCTAATCCCCTCTCTAACTCCCTAAACAAACGGGGCCCTATAGTCAAATGTGAGGATCGTACACATTTTTAAAAAAGCATTTGGTACAATGGAGTGTGTGTGTGAATAGAGCGATGTTTTAGAAGATGGTTAAAAATTAATTTTTTAATTTTTATTAGTTTTTTTATTATTTTATGTGAGAGATAATATGATAAAAATGGATTAAAAATTGACTTTTGACTTTTAACTCATGTTCCGAAATAGCCTCAGAATGTCTATTTTAATTTTGTATTCACTTTC